GAAATCTTCTCTCACTTCTCAATATACAAGCTGACCAACACTGCATTACCTGCTTTCATCCTATACTATAGACAAACTTTCAACTGGTATATCAATAGATTACCAAAATTAGCTTGCAAGAATTGCTATTCCAGAATTTGCCATCAATTATCGGTGAGACATACAAGTATCTGCATCAAAATTGGTATTAGCGGTACTAGAGACCGGTAGTTCGCACTGATAGCTGATATAGTACCCGGTAATTGGCACTGACCTAACCAGAATCTTTGCCGATATATGATCTTGCTGTAGTCTGTTCCAGCGACTAGTAAGTCGTCTGGCCATATCTCGACGACTGTTATGCCACCATCTTTAGTCTTGAGATTCAAGCACACAGATAAATCTTCGCCGTGATTCTGGTTGTTGCTGCAGACAGCCGATCGATTTTTGTACCGCGCAACTTTCCGGTGTCCGTTCGCTTCTTTTTGTGCAACCGTTTGATATGCAATTTCAACTGTACCAGGCTTGCACTTGGTGGGCGCTCACGTGTTGGCAGCTGGCAGGGCAGTAGTCTCATCTTGTTCAGCTACTACCCCCAGTGCTCTCTCTGTACACTTACGCACTTGTCGGAGCTCTCCGGCTGTAAGTGGCTTGGCGTCATTTATTCTGGAAGAGTTTGAGCTGATAAAGAGCCACGGGGTGGCTTCGACGTGATTTCTATATTCAGTATTGCGTCGCGGCTAGCGGTGCGGCCGATTAAATCTGTGGGGTTTTTGCTTGTGCTCTTAATGATAGCTGATAACTTTGTCGGGATGTTTTAGCAGCAAGTGTCTGTGAACTCGCGCCTTTTTTCAGTGTGCGATTATCCTGCACGCGGCCCGTAACAATCATGTCGCTCAAGAAGTCAGATATACAGTGTACCCTTTCAGTTGATTCTTTCTACCTAAAACGAGCCAATCATACCATCTTGTTTATGGCGCATTTATCAAGGTTACAAAATAAAGCGCGCTTGAATACAAATACCACGGTGTCACGAAGGTTTAAGGATTACCCGGTCGGAACCTGAGAGGTGACATTCAAGTAAATTGGCACGAGACGAGCTTCAGTTTAGTACGTACGTGGCGTACTCAGTTGTGTCACCACAGTAACTAAGCGGCAACCCCGCACCAAGCACCGCGCACCGAACCATGTTTGGAGATGCGCGGTCGCTTCGCTTTACCGTTTGCAGCTTGGTTTTTGACGTCATAGACTTGCCAGTATTTGGCGGCGAAGAATGTCTCTTTTTTATAGAAGAGATATTGTTCGCCGCCTCTCATGCGGAAACTATGTACCAACAGCCGAACAATTTCTCGAACTCGACAAAAAGTCCTTAATTTTTTTGCAGCTATGTTCTCCAATATCGCCATGAACAACTTGCAGTTTATGACATGCGATCCACAAAGCAGATTATGCAACAGCTATCTGGACTTATAAACAGCATCATAAGGCCTTCTAGGTCGCAGCTCCTTCGACTTGATCGGACGGTGGGTACTCGTCGGTGTACTTGGTCGGCTACTTTTCACGAATTCGCTTATCTTCAGCACAAAAAATGCATGTCTTCCGCTACTGATTCAAGATATCGACACAGTATTCGAAATGTTTTGTTAACGCTTTTCAGCTCTCTTATCCATCAGATTAATGATAAGCCCTTCCATCTTTGCAGTTTTCGCGGCCGCCGACTCAAGTCTAGCTACAAACACGTTGCCCTTCAGTTTGATGTAGATCACCACGTCGTCGCTCTTTATCAACGCCAGCTTGTCGTGGCACTTGGATAAGCAGCATCCCTTTGCAATCCGATATCCATGTTGTATCAGATCTTTGCCAGTTTTGTTGCGTGAAAGATATCACGGAGATCTACCTCAGCCGTGGCTCCATTAAAGTTTGCTCACAGACTTACCAATCCTTTGGCAACGTAATTTTTCCGACTATAAGCAGCGTACAAGTATCCAAAATGGAATGCCCCACAACGATAAACATCAGCGCGGGGTTGTCGAAGAAATGTCGACGGGCACTACTGTCCAGGATCCGGCTGAATACATCCATTAACAGAGCCTTGTTGCCGACAGCAAGTGCGAGCTTGACTGACGTGCTATCGTCGTTATCAGTCAGACGCTACGAGCAAATCTATCTAATCTGTTTTCGCATGGTGCATTATTGCGCTTCCTCATGCTTTCGAACACCGCACTGACGACATCACTTTTGCTCAAATGTCATCAGACATCATCTGCGCTCACACAGTTGACTCAATTGCTTATCCGATCGCGTGGTGTCATACTCGGGGATCATAGTGTGCCTAAAGCTTGGGTCCGCGCTCTTGACAATATTCTCCGGTTATAGCGTGTGTAACGCGCTTGTTGCCGCCATGAAGAGCATTTAGGTACATCGAACGCCCATTCCATCATCGGTAGGGGCATTTTTGGCTCTAAACAGCTACATTTCTTGTTGCGCTGAGATCGTCATTTTGAATGACAGTGCATTTGATCCATCACCTGTAAGGCCCACCAACACATAAGGGGCTTCTGGTAGAAGCATTCAGCTTTGTAACGTAGATACTGGCCGATATTGTTCACATGTACAATTCTGACCAGGCATAGCTACAGACCTGCTTCGCCATCTAAATCTATTCGATGAAGAGCAGCGCCCAGTGTTTAAAACCTTTCTAAAGCTCTATATGGACTTCAATGCCGTCAAAGTTGCGCATGCGATTTTTCCGGCGACACTCTTATAAAACCGCAAAGCCACAAAGCCGCGCCCGCTGCGCTCTTTGAATTTAAAGATTATCACTCTATGTAAGTATCACTTGCGCATATAGTAGCAGCAAGAACATTTGATCTATTCACAAGGGGATAAAGATTTTAACAAAATGCTGGTGAGACGACACCAGAGCTCTTTGCGCTTGGCTGGATCATAAGAGCCGGGTAATGAGATAATTTCAGTAAGCCTTCGCGGAGGTGCTCAGCAGCCAAGCTAGCTTACTCTTTCAGCTCGGCATAGTTGAAGTTATTCGCCTCTGGTGCCCTCCTGGAGCTTTTACATCCGGTATCAACGACCATCGAAGCCCGGATATTGTACTCCAAATGCAATGCGTTGCCCACCTGGTAAACCTTCAGGAAAGTTATTGCCTCCAAAAGATGGTCTGATGGTATCGCGGCGATAACATTAATAGCACATGGCCATTGCTCGCTGGTTTCCGCCTATTGACTAGAAGACAAAAACTTGGAGGCACCCGGTACGCCTATCTAGGTTGTGAGAAGACAAGCAGCACCTGTCGTTCCAAATCTTCAAATGTTAGTAATGTCTCTTCCACGTTTTTACTGCGCGTTTGTGCCATATTCACGTGCGGCCTCTTTGCGTGATGGCTGAAGCGCTATAGTTTTTTGTACTGCTTGAAGCATGGCCAAATTCATGGCCTTCCAAACTCCTCATCCAGATTGGAGCTTTCTTATCCCTGTTCTGAGTGCTGAACAATTAACATCTGCGGTCTTGTGGTAGATGCCATCTGATACCCCTAGCGACGCCCGATTAGGACACTCCTGGAGACGTCTTACCAGTCCATTCTCATGGTTCGTAAACGCCTCAAGGCAAGCGATACCGCAGCAGGCTTTCAAGCTATCAGTTCCTTACCCCTCCAAAGACAACAACAGACAAGACCTTTCAAGCAATTCTATTCGACTCAAGAACCAAAAGTTGATAACTCCAATCTCATCATCACAGAGGGTACATTTCTTTCACGACTAGGTTGTGGGGTAGTCTACCAGCCTACCGATTTTAAAAGGGTTGCCGTGCATCCTGCTCGGAGATAGCTTCACATGAATGCCACAATATGTCCGGATTTCTTTAATACCTGCCATCTTAATCAGCAAGCCAACGAGCCCTGCCAGTCTGACCCGTCAATCTGATGCGCAACTTCTTACCATACGCAATAGTATTTTCAAAAGATGGTCCTGAGCCTAGTAATTGGAGCAAAAATTTGGTGGGATGCTACTTGTGAGGTGAAGCAACTTTTAATAAGTCTGCCATCACACCAATCTTCACCTATGGTTGCAGCTGCATCGTTCATTCCCACGTCGCTCCACTGATGGCGCTTCAATTTACGCGTCCAGCTTCAACAAATTGGGCCCGTAGATCGCAAATTAGCATTGCATCTCTAAGCATATCGTTTTATGAGCTGTACTCGCTAGGCTTAACCCCTGATTCATTTATTTAAGGTAATCAGCAAAGTGGCTGCTACTTGAGTAATGCTCGTAGTATTCGACCATAAACATAGCCATATTCCTGTGACGTCACGCTACCGGCAAACCGTATGGTAAAAGCTAGCCAAATTCCCCCGGAGAAACTGTCACAAGTCCTAGCAATATGAAAGACCTCAAACAACCAGGCACAAAAATGATAAATATATCACTAATGTGAGGAATAAGGCTTGATTTATTATAATCATCGTACTCAAGCCAGACGCGCAATTTTGAAGTATCGGGCGCTTCGAATCTCCGAACCATTTCCCGAGATGAGCCATAAAGAGATTGACCATCCACTGAATGTAAAGAAGAGACGAAAGTTGCCTCAGCCTTTTTGCTTAGTAATCTTAGGGTTTTAGCCAGATTTTTGCATTTTAAGTCTACGAAGTAGCTGGGACTTATACATCCCACTTTCAACACGTGTTAAACCGCTATCGGAGGCAGCGTGGTGCGAGATGTTACCAGCTTTTCGTGACAGCTCATATACAAAGCAATATGTCTCCCAACTGCTTACAGTTCGGTGACATCGGGCAACGCACAAGGCTGATAAACGCTTTATTGTTAACAAATCCTTGATCAGCAAACTGAACAAGAGAAGAGAAGACAGGCACCGAGACAAAACAGCCTACCGGATGACATCCTGCATGGTAGCTCTGCCATCATGCAAAACTGCATCTAATGGTAAAATTTGTCTCGAGCAACGTTAACTCTCTGGTACACTTGACTAAGCAGTGAATAGTCACGACTTCTATATGAATGAAGAATTGGAGATATCACTGCGTACAATTGTTTAACATTTTGTAGATTGCTGCACCTCATCATGGCTACTGCACAAGTTTGTGTTTACTTTTTCTGCACGCTGAAAATTGTTCGACAGTACGCCGAGCTATTTTCTTACGTAGACAACCGCAGTAAGCCATCGTGTCTCCAAGTGTTGAGCTCGTGAATGATGCTTTGAGCCCGTGACAAAAACCGTTGAGATACAAAGTACTGAAGCGAAGAGAAAAGAAGAGATATAAATGCAAACTCAGCGCGCTTATAAACGACGAAGGAGACATTATTGTGGGAACCGACGGTGACTATTTCCAGTCATTGGTGAGGAGTTCTCTTTGGATCACGAGATGAACTCGATGGATATAACTTTTGCTGTGTATTTCAACAATTTCGAATATGTACCAACGATGGCGGACTGGTAGCTCGATAAGCGTGTCTTCCGGTACCTCAGTGGCGCCCGATTGCACAAGCTATCTACGTCTGTAACGGGGTTACACGTACACTTGTATGAAAGGGCGGGTCGCACAAGATTGTGCGATCGTACAGAGGTGCGTATTACACAAATTAGTGTAATCACACAGTGGTGTGGCTACACCGTAACAAGAAGCCATCACGTAGCAGGATTGTCAGTAGTTACGCATGTTACTATATAAATTAGATTTTGCTATATTGGTTATGTATTACTAAATTTATTAGGAAAACTAAGGGTTTTAGATATTGGCGGCTCTGCCGCAACTAAAACAATTAAATACAGTTTCGATTTTGAACAGAAGTGTTCGCTTGCTTGGTAAGGTTTATAGCACTTGGAGGTAGCGGATTGCGATCCGCTACACTCGTACTGATTCTTGGAAAGAACGTAAGGTCGATGATCTTAGCTTAGCTTCCTTTAAGCAAAGAGCTACAGCAGCCCTGCTGCAATGTCAGGTAGTGACAAGGTCAAAACTACGGTTGCAGCTGCACCTGCGCTCAAGCGCTGGGGCCGACTTTGTGGCTAATAAGGACGTCAAAAGGTATGTAAGCGTGGCGGTCGTCCATTTATACTGTATGACGGTAGATAGATGGCAACGCAAGAAGCAAAGTTATGTGACGTAACCGGCATCCGAGGTTGCTTATGAGCCGATGGGCAGGACCAATATCGCTACCTAGTTGCCTATTGACCTGTGGGTAGACAACGAAGCTGTTATCACGCATGTACAGAACGAAATGAAGTTGGCCACAACAAACCATGAGGACGTCAAGAACAAGTTCATCCAAAAATGTGCCAAGAAAGGCGTTGTTATACCAGGGTATGCCGCTAGCGCTAAACTCCTCGCGAGCCTGCCGACGAAGGCGTTGTCGGCGCCATAAAGAAGCTACGAGGGAGATCGGACATATCAACATCGAATGATCCAAGGACTCTGAGGCTCTGAAGTGGAGCGTGTTGGACATTGATCAAGAAGCTAAAAGACATGCAGGCGGTCATAAGTCCGATCCCCGTGTACCGAAGCGGATGCATTGTCGAGTCGACAGTTTCGAAGGTACGACATTTGACTACATTTGCCTGTTGTGACCAATCCGGTGGATCCGAGACATTTGCATATATCAGATCAGGCGTCGGGGCGTGTAGTAGTGGGGCCATGTGCCTTTACGGCCACCATGTAGATTGTATAAAAAACTCGGCAGAAATTCCTTGCATGTTTGTCTCCTTTTCCTTCTCCCTTCTCAGGCACCAGTGCCCTGTCATCGCGAGCAATTTCTGATGGCTTCAAATCTTGGTCGTGACGTAATTGTTTCGCACGAGTCCATGTGTCTCTCACGGTTATTAACAAACAAGCTGGGCTTCACGGTCCAGATCGTGGCGATAAGCTGGACATCGTTGTGAGGTTCGAGGCGGGTGTCTCATCACTACCAGCCGTCGGAAAAGAGCACGGAGTCAATGACTCGTAAAGATTCGGGGTGGAGTGCGTTGAGCTTTGCGTCCTCTGTAAACTGACCGGCCGTATAAGTTTAGGTCAGAGCAAAGGTGTGGGCCGGTTCTCGGAAAGTTTATGCGTCCATTGTCATCGAAGAACATCTCAGTAGCATCACCAACTTTAGCTTTAAGGGCGTCGGTCGCGAGGACAGCGCCACTCCAGGCTCGCCGAGCCATGTAATAATGTACGCGGGAAAAATCTTGATGCGAGCATGTGCTCGAGGGCAGCGATGGTAGAAGGCAATAAGACGACTAAAATCCAAGCGCGGTGGTTACTTACTTAGTGCTCATTTTTGAGCGCTGGCTCAAGAAACGCAATTCGAAGGATGGTCTCCCGTGTTTGGCAGGGGGGTGTAACGGGGTATTTACTGTATGCACTATAGGAAATGCACCTTGCACTGTTATACAAATGCGTTCAACACAATATTGTAACAATTGTAGGTGATCCACATTGCACTTCGTATGTAAATGTGAGTAGTCTTAAATAACTATACATTGGAACTTTTGGAAATGATAGGACTCGATAAAAGAGAGGTCCGTGGTATATGTGGGATGCTAGCCGCACGTCAAATAGTAAAGTCAGCTCTAATATGAAATACGGTAAGACGTATATATTTATGCTAGAGTTGATCCGAAACCTATGACAGTAGAGATACCAGGGAGACTAGGTACGCTTGAGCTTCTCAGTCCCGCTCCTGGTGGCAAGGCTCAAACTCGACCTCTACGCGTTACTTACCGCTTACTTCTTGAGTCAGCGCTTCTTTTGTGCAAGGTTCACGGCAACCCCGTTGCAATGATCCCAAAGGCAGTACACTTATAATTGACATACCCGAAGCGTTGACGACATTCTGTGCCAACTTAACCACCAGGGCATCACAGCCGTAGTTCAAATGCGCGAGTAAAGTCTGAAGCTAGCAACGACACAATCGCTGACAAAGGACAGCGAGAGAGCAGAAATGCAGACAAATCCGTACAGCTCACTATAGATCACTAGTTGTAGTTCCCTTAAAAATGTAACGTCAAAACCGAAATGAATAATTTATACAAATTTCTTAGTTCACTACTCTGTGCTACTTCTAAGCCTACTGGTTCAGACATCGCACAATTGCCAGCATATGCCATAGCATTATTTTAATTTTCTTCGCTGCATCTAGCTCCACTGCCATCAACAATTTTCAATTTTGAAGAGCAGTGTACACTAAGTCGAAAATGGCATATGAGCCAGTGCAACAATTTTGTAGCCGTGTCAAGCAGGAACAGTTGTCGTGTGCAATTTAGTGCAACCACTACTCTGTATTTATAACTGCATAATCACGCGTCAGAACACTCCTCTTGAGAATATTTGTCTTGTCTAAATTGTGCTTGATTCAGCTCTCATTAGCATTAGCTAAATTTATAGTTCGGGTTAAGACGTAGGTATATTGGATTTTGAAAGTCTTAAACATATTCAGCATCTCATAATTACTCACATAAACCCGGTAAGACAAAATTAACAAGTCAAAACGCTCAAGAATCATTATTGTTTTGTAAACTTTGTATGTATTTGTAATTGTAACGCCTTCAGTAGGTCGGTAAGCATTGGGAAAAACTAGCGCTGATGTACTTGCACACTGCTCCAGGAGCGCAGAATGTCTGGCCGTCGTAATCTCCACCACCACATTGGCCGTAAAATGAGACAGGAGTGCGACTTGGCCATTCACTGCAACGATATACATGGCTATCTTCAACCTCCTGGCATCGGTAACCCTGTTCGCAAGAGAGCATTGTATACCCAACTGTGCTAAGAGAGGTAGGCATATAGATTGTGTAATTGAAGTTTAATCCGCCGCAGTCACTATGACCAGGGACGAGTTTGACTTGACCGGTGATTGGGCTTGGTCCATGAGGCGCAATCGGTGTAGAGGATGGTGCCTTCGAGAAATCAATATCGTCCAATACACTTTGATCGCCACCATCGGATGGCTCATTAGCACCTAAGTCAGTTCGCAGACTTCCATCACCGTTAACGGTAGTCAAATCTGTGGTGTCGTGACTGGTCCTAGAACTACCAGCGTCAATGCTGGCATCGATTGTGTCAAGACTTGAGTCGAGTGACACGCTTCCGTCATTGTCAGAAAAAAATCCGGTGGTGCCGAAGCCATCGGCGGTGCTGCTATCGTCATCGACGCTGCTGCCGTGTGACATAAAACCAGGATCTATAGCAGAAGTAGCATTTTCAACCGAATGTCTGGTTGTTGTGTTGCCTTCATCACCATATACATCGACATTCGATAGCCTTGTATTGTTAACTAATACAGCTGACCCGCTGTCTAAATTCACAACGGGAGCTTCAATGAAATCAACAGATGTGTTACTAGTGGTGCCAGCACTCAAATTGAAGCTGTTGTTGTGAATCGGTAAGAGAAGAACGAGATCAGCGCCACCCGCGGTGATATTACTGTCATTACTTAGAATAACAGCTTCAATAAGTAAATAGTGTTTTATTAAAGCGCAGACTGCAGCGCTGACGCTGAGACTAAACTTGACCATGGTCGGAATGGCCAAAGTTGACAAGGATTTGGTTAGGCGGAAGCGAAAGCTAAAGTGGCTGATTTAGATGTCTGCTACATTTATCCTATAAGCAGTTCAGCCCGTTTGAAATAGATTCTCCGTTTTGTCCCGTTTTATTCTGCTTTACGATAAAAGCAATGTCAATGTCATTGCTAAAAGTACCAAACAGAAATAGAAATCGTTCTTCTTGACATTCCAGTAAAATTGCGATCTCTAAAATCAATCTTTATCTTTGCCAAACACGTACTCGTCGATGCGGTGTATCAGCCAAGTCAAATTTTGTGGTGTCTTCACCACTTGCTTCTCCATCTGCTCCGTCAAACGTCGACATGAGTCCAAATACCGATCGCCAAATCCATCCAGTCGACGTGCCCAAAATTTGTACATGGCGTTTACGGAATACTTTGTCTTTTCTACAAAGCGATCCTTAACCTCTTCCATAGTGATCGATGCTGGCACTACAGCTGGACCACTTGGTGTTTTCAATCCTCGCACCACTTCGCTCTCAACAAGCGCCTGACCGTCATCTGTCGCTTCGGCATCATTAAATCCAAAGAGATCGTCATCGTGTCCATCTTGCAAGTCTCCTTTGTTGCCTGCACTTTTTTCAAGCTCACGCTTAATACGTTTGTGCTCTTCAATGTGCTTCATGAAATCATCGCTGAAGTCTGGCTGGACAGCGATGATACTAATACCTTTCACATGTGGCAAGTATTTTCCTTCCTCCATCCACTCGGGTGAGTACGTAGACAGACCAACGCCTATAAAAGTAAAATTTTCCTTCCTCGGGTGACCTAAACAATAAAATTTACGTTAAATATGGTATCTAGCGAACAAACAGCTCGGCCTTATTCCCACCAGCCCGCTCTCTCAAATTCTGCAGACGTTCACGACTAGAGTTCAAATTCACTTGGAGGCCCTTGCATTTCGGAGTCTGACGATTGCGCCACATGGATCTTAAGCAAATAAAAGTAGTACATAAAAGTAGTTAGTAATCAGTCACTAGTTTGTGCAAGCGCTCCACGTCCGATCATCCCAGCTTTCAGGGACCTACTTTGTGTACACACTCATGCCTATGCAGTAGCTGCATGGCACGGATTCGGTAGAATCGTTTTTTCCTCGACGTTCTGGAGGCATCGTAGCAGCGGTAAAAATTTATAAATCAATTTATTTCTTGTAAACTTTTATTTTTTTCAATTTAGAATTCACAAAAAATGCGTTTACGTCATGCGTGTATTGAAGTGTCTGCAGCGCGCGGGGTTTGTCGAACTCTGTTGGCTATTGTAGCTACAAGTGAGGATAACGACAATATAACTTTCGACGAGTCAATGGTGTATTTGCACGGCTTTCCAGATATGAGCGTGCATCCAACCGAAGTAAAGTTTGCCTCTCGCATGGCAGCCAAATTGGCCGAGTGTTGGGTGAATCAGAAGGATCGGAAACACGTGTTTGTAACTTTCAATTTTGGCGGAGTCCCTGGATCAGACAAAGAGCTGCGTTTTACAGACAAGCGTATATCTTTGGAGGTTGAGGATGCGATCGTCGTTTGCAAGTACGTCCGCTCACACTTTCTGGGTGGAAAAGGCAAGGTGCACACCGTGGGTCTTTCTACTGGAGCCATCGTAGGTGCTTTACTGCGGGATAAAAGTGTGTCGGATACCGTTACGGTGATTGCAGGCCTGCTGGATATGACAAAGGGGGTCCACTTTGATTTTAATAAGGAGCAGTTGAAGCAGGCTGAAAAGCAAGGTTGGTGCTGGAAAGAGTTTTACTTGGAAGAAAATTGTCCACTACCCAAAAATGTTGAGCTATCACTGGATGGCGTTCAAGCTACCACAGCTCTGACTGACGCAAATGCACCATCGAAGATTTACATACGTTTGGATAAGAATTACATTGACGAGTTTTTCGAAGGCTCGCTAGACATATCTAAAGCTGTGTCAGGGATTTGTCTGCCACCGCTGCTGGTGATTCATGGTGACGCAGATACGGATGTTCCTCATGCAAATGGCGAGGAGCTATTTGCAGCGGCAGCTGATCCGAAGTCTTTTTTGTTGATACCAAAGGCAAATCACATGTTGTCGAACTCGAAGCATATAAAAATAGCATTGCGTGAGATTCGAGAGCACGTTGCGGTCTTGCATTAGGTGCGATTTGCTAAATAAACAGGCTCAAATATTAAAAAAAAGTACTTGTAATTTGTATTGCAGTAAAAAGTTAAAACTTCTCCTAAATATGCTCATAGAAAAGACTGGCTGTTTTTAGTCAGATTTATAATTTCTTAAGCTTTCTTAAACTGTGCTAACAAAACTTGAAACATTTGGCGTTTCGATTAAAATATTCTACCCATACCAATCGAGTGCCACTTATCCCATTTTTCAGTGCTCGCTAATTAGCTTTGTGCGCCATTCGACTCATTGCACGCATTGCGCCATTAATTTTAGACCAAAGCTGATTACAAATATCACGACCAAGCAACATCATTCTTTGAGCAATTTTAGTGCGATTGAGGACGCAGCCCAATAATCTTTATCACAACGCTTTTCTGGACTGACGTTCATTCCGGCTTAAGTAAGACATACTTAAGCTTTATTGAAATGTATATACTGCGACTTAGCGTGCTCAAATATGAAACAACAGACCATCCTTGTTCTTAGAGACGTGTCGTACGAGGTGTAATATACAAGCTACATTTTACAATCTGTTAACAAGACAAGCGTGATAGTCAAAGCTCAACGCGCTGAAAGCATGTTTTATGTTGCCATTTGCAGCTTGTTGTGCGATATATTGCTTGCGCTATAAAAGTGACGTACTCAAAATTGACGTGATTTAAAAGAAAGGATATACGATTATACGGTATTACGCAGAAAATTAAAGATATTTTAGATATAAATTAGTTGTATTATTTGGTCTCGCCATGCAATGCCGACGATTACAAGAGTCGAGATGACTTCCGGCTTCAACATTATTAAGGAAGTCCGAATTTATCCGTCTTAGTCGCAAATAGACGTGTAGGCTCACAAACAAATGCAAGGGCAATCGCAAACCACTGAGTTATAAGGAACCGCTGATCCAGCTTCATTAAAGTTTGCGGTGCGAAATCTCATGACGGTACAAGTGAGCCTCACGTGTAATGCACAGGACCGTTTGGTGCTGCCGCATGCTGTCACTTCGCTTTGCGGGCATGCTTAATCAATTCGGAGCTCGCCAAAAAGCACTGACTCTTGTGCCTCGTTATTAGTATCATTTATTCAGCGATTCATTTCGTGAGCTCAAATGAATATTTGCTCGTCTTCCTCCATCCTATGATGCAAACCAACCGACTCGACAACAAACTCGCCAAACTTTATCTCCTCACCAGTTTTGCCTATTAAAAAGCGCTTTTTGTAGATTAAATTTGGGTAGATCTGCTCTGTCTGAACTGCCACAAATCTTTCGGCGCGTGCATTGCCACCACGCGGCGGTGCAAGGCGAGCTCGCTCATTCGGCAACACAAAGACTAAAATTGTTAAAAGCAAAAGGACACCACATCCCGTCCATGTGCACACATTGCCCACCTTGGTATTTGTCAAAAAAATTCTAACTCGGCGTACTCTGGTGTCAACGAGCTGTCGCTGAACGTTAACAGCTTCCACATCATGGGCTGCATATACCACTTTGGCGTTTTGAAAGATGTACAATAGCGCTGATGCTGCCATCGTTTCCACTACATTTTCATTAAAGTAAAAGTGGTTGTTTTTGATGTATCGAAGATACGGATCCAATGTAGCCGAGCAAATGAAATCTTTTGGCCAAGACTTTAAATGCTCCATAAACATTAACTGTCCGGGGTGAAGTCTGACTTTTGGCTCTAACAGCTGAACAAGGGAGACATGAAAATTTCGACTTTCACGTTGTAGATAAGGCGGAAGCCACTGCTTTGCCAATACCAAGCGGCGATTGCTATTTCCGAGCTGATGGTGCAACACCTGACACTCTCCCTTTGTGGAGGTGGCATAGCCACACTCACTTTTATCGGCTTGAGCAAAATGCCACGTGATGCGTCCGAATGATAGCACCAATGACCGCTTTACTACGGCTGCCTCAAAATTGAAGCTATTGACAACCGTAAGACCATGTACAAACACCGAGTTGGACGTATTCCCTGGTGCCATTCCAGCCTGCTTTCGTGGAAAACGCAATTTAGCATTTGAGTAGGGAACCAGCAATGAACAGCTGGTTTCACTACAAACAACTGTAGTGTTAGTTGTGCTGCGCAGAGGCAGCTCAAGCGTCATGACCTGCAATTTCATTGATGGGCTTAGAGCTCTTGTCTCAAAAGAAGCATCGACATTTGCATCTTTGATTAATGGCAGCCCTGCTTTGAGTAATGAATTGACGACATGATCAAAGAGCTCGCCCATACTTGATGGGCGCGAGTCTAGTTTACTGTAAATATCAGCACTCGGACTCCCGAAGAAATGTGCTTTACCCTGTGCCCAGAGATCGCATGCCATGGCTAGTGGCATAATTTCACACATGTATGCCTCATCAGCAAACCCACCAGCACTGTTGTATGAGATCTCGCAGCGCTGTGTCTCTTCTTGGAATGGCCATTCATTCCCAAACTCAATGCTCCAGTCTTTCACAGGAAACCCAAAGATAACCTTCGGACTTGCAGCCAGTAGCGTATCCTCTGTGAACAACTCCTTTTGTGTGGGGGGGCAACGTGACGTTTTCACAGGCTGCATAGGTTCCACCTTCCGAGCTAAAGCTGTCTTCAAGATAGTGTCTCCCAAACCTGATTCCCCCAAATTCATATCTTGCTGCGACAAAAACCTCGTTGTCGTGGCTGGATTACTGCTACCAACTACCGAGTTATCTTCCTTTTGATTGGCCTGCACAGCAGATAGGGAGCTGCTTACTGCCATCATAACAGCCGGAATGAAGATCGTGAGGGCAAACTTCTTAAGCTTGCTTTGCTTCTTAGTCGCTGGATCGTCACCTGGGTACCATCGTAAATTGTGGAGGTAAACTACGAAGACGGGGAAGATTTCCTCAATCCCGAGAGCGATAATGGACTCGATAAAGCCCATCATAAGACCAATATATGAATTGACCATGTCCGTCTTGGTCTCTGCATCAACCACAGGAACCCTTTTCTCCACAACAAAACCTTCTCGGAGCCAGGCAGCAATTGCTGACATGACAGCGGCTGTGATCACCACAAGTACGGCGAACCGCTTCCGTCGAAGGATGATTTCCGGTCTTGGCTGGGCTAAATCTCCGTACACCAGCCCACCGTGTGCGTCATGATCGCTCGCGCCCCTCACATGCAAGTTGTTCACGAGGTTCACACCTTGAAACGAGGATTCGCCTGCACCTTCAGTCGTCTGTGGGTCAAGGTGTTGATGTGTACCCACGCCGCAGCTGCTTGTCAGTATTGCGTGCGGTGACTCGCACTCAAAGGCATCATCAGTGTATGAGGACATGCGTTCTTGTTCGATAAATTGCTGCTGGAGCGCGGCTGAATGTGATTCGTATTTGGCTTCGGCTTGCGCTCTGAGGGATTGCACCGATGGTCGCTCGGGGTCCATAATAGACGGGCCCTATGCGAGAAAATAATATTCGCCGCATATTCTTTACAATCGAGTAGATACAAGTTCTGTTGTGATGTACAAATACATTACATTTATTGTCTCAAAAAAAGAAACTGCAATTTTTTTTTCTTGGCCTTGCACGTATACATCTAAACCCTAATAAATTATTATATGCCAGATGCCGGACACAAGCGTTGACTCAGCTTCTGCTTTAGCTATCTGACCGAGGATAAATTCGTACGCCGCAATCAGGAGTGGAATCGAGAGACTCTCAAGTAGCTAGATATCTGAATTGTAAAAGCTGATATTAAATACATATGTTGTGCAACAATATAGTAATTAATATTGAATGTGCTGACAAGAAGCTCATAAGTGTCACACCACACCTTCGCCACAGCTTTCTTTATCGAGATCAACGATCCGAACCGGAAGAGAAGATGCAAAGGTGAAAGCTCTTTGAAAAAAATTCTCTTATACTTATGCCATGGAAAAATACCGGTAAAAATCCCAGTTAGCCCGCTAAAAGTATTTGTTGATACCTTTTGTCAGTGTCAGCCCATTATTGGTGTTAATTAATAATGCTCATGCCAGCTCCGGTGTAACTAATGAATTTGCCAAATGCTATTACTCATCGATTCCGCTTCAACTACCGCACAGAGGGTGAGTTCGTATGCAGACGGAAAAGGACGAAAGAATGTTGAAAACACTGAGATCGGAGACCTGGTTTTATTTAACGCTAAATCCTTCCTACACATGCAGTTTTGCTGTCTTTAAGACGACGCTTCGTCCACAGTTCATTGGACCTTTAAGGTCGTGGCCAAGCGAAGCCTAGCGTATACGCTGAACCTCCCGAGAGTAACGGGGTTACACGTACCCTGGTAACAGGGATGTGTCACACGAGATAGGCATGGTGTGACGACACCCAAATAAGAATACGGTACGTGACTGGGTAGCCAGTAGTTATGCATGTATTTAGATCTTACTATATATTTTTTGGAAAATCTATACATTTAAAGTTAGGCGGCTTTGCCGCAGATAAAACAAAAAAGAACAGTTTACATGTTAAACAGAAGAGTTTAACATCCTTGGGTTTCGGTTCTAACTACTCTTGGAGGTAGTGGATCGCGATCCGCTACACTCGTACGTTCTTGTGAAGAACGTAAGGTCGGTGACCTAAATTAAGCTTACTCTAAGCGCAAAGCTACGGCAGCCCCGCTGCACCGAGAAGGATGCGCACCCACCCGGTGTTTTATGTGGGCTTGCTTAAGCCGTACCGGGATCCGGCGTAGTAGCTTCTTGTTACGGTGTAGCCCCACGACTAAGTGCTTTCGCTAACTTGTGTATACACACCTATGTACGGTCGTACAATCTTGTGCGACCCGCGTACAAGGGTACGCGTCATCTCGTTAAACCCCCATTAAAATCATGAGTATCCCCAGTTCACATTTAACGGTCGCCTCATACTGGGATCGCGTATTCGAGACACCATAACGTCCTTAGAGAACAAATTTGAACATTATCTGCTCTATGATCCATGTGTCTACGACACGCAAAACACCCCGCCAAGCTGGTAGCGAGGGCGCCCACGTGCAAAGCTCTTCTTCCTCTGCACAGGGTGCATTACCGGACAGTACGTCCGCGACTTAATTAGAAGTACATCCCAAGCCCTCAGCAACTGAGCGCAACACAACGCCCTCCTCGGGCGATGCATTTCCTCGTCGAGAAGTTCGAGGAAGTCAACTACGAGTCGGACACACCTTTCCCAGTATGGGAGACGAGGAAGATGAAGAGCGCCAACGGCGCGATGTGAGCCCAGCTCAAACCTTGCGGACACCATGTCCGATCTCCGACCTATCGGTTTCCGGGGGAAGTGGTGTTATTACCAGTCGCCTCGACGAGGCACAGCAATTGGAGGCTGCTCACGGGGCGGCTCTCCTGTGCACGTATCCACGTTCGGTCTTAGGCACTCGTGTATACGTCTTCCACGCGGCGGATTCCGCTACAGAAGCAAAAGACGCGATTACTCGATCGTTAGGTGTCTGCGTAGTCGGCACTACACCAAATGATCTTGATCAGTGGAAAGCTCTGCGAGCTCGCTTTTCGGTACCACAAGATATTCCAATGGATCGGTACAACGCTCGACTTCGAGCTCAGAAAAGAGGAGTTCCTGTTCCCGCAATGTAGGCCAATTCTGTGGTGATCGCCCCTGGCAAAACCGCTGTAGATGACGATTAGCTCTTTGAGCTGTGGGTGCAGCGACGTCGGAAACATTCTTCGCTGTCTACCTTACAGCAAAGTCACAAGAAAGTGGACGAGCGCGTTGGGCGCCATCTTCGATTTGAGTTTGCCAGACTCAAGGCGCAACGCCGACATCCTGCGTAACGTCGCCTTGTGACATATGGAACAATCCATAATGTTCCCGCGAGCTCAGTGCTTTTCACACGGGTGAGTCAACGACCACAGCAGTTCAGGGCCATAGCTTGAGCTCAGCTCATGACCTCCAGCTTCATGTACAAATTCTTCATCGGGGTCGAGTCACCGTCGCCGACTGGTATTAAG